ATGTATATATTTATATACAATAGATTATATTTTAAATAGAACAATTTCAATTTCAAGACAGAGCAAACACTTTAAAACCTAAAATTTCTTATAGAATGATAATATTTTAATGCAAATTAAATTCTTTTTTTAATCAAACAAGTGGTGTGTTTATGCAAATAAATTAGCAAAACATATAAATAAGAAAATACTTTCATGCATTTGTTTTAATTTATCACTAATAATATGTATAAAAAAAGCTAAAAAGTAACTAAAAACAGTTGAGTTTGAATAACAGAAGTTAGAAAAAGGATGTATATAGATAGACATAAGTGTACAGATATAGTAGCTTATTATAATGCATATGATAATTTTCTCTAATGAAAATATAAAAAAAAAAATTAGATTAGCTACTTTTGATATTATAATTTTGGTAATATATGATAAGTGTATTTTCTTAGTATATGATTAAAGTCATTGGATATTAATGCTGAAAAAGAAGCAATTACTTTACAAAAAAGATTAAAAAAGATCTGTTCATATAAGTGAATTTCTTACTGATATTAGTGAATGTTTAACATTATATAAAGAAAACAATATATATATATAATTTTAAACTTTATTTTATTTACTTTTTTTCATAATTTAAGAACCTCAATTAAAATTTTTTTTAGATCACTTTTTCTATTTTCTACTAAAAGCATGTATTATAACTTATTAGAATAAAAATAGTAATAAGTAATAGAATTTAAATGATTTTGTAAACTAGATAATTAATCATATAATCTCAATTTTTGAAGTTCAGTTTCTAGAGACAAAAGCTTTTTTTGTATTTGATAATGCATCTAGTCATTGTATATATACTAAAGATACTCTTGGCAAAAAATATAAATTTATCTTCTAATGGCAAATAACTCGAAATGAGATTGTATATTTATATATATATATTGACTATGTTCTAATAAAACACTGTCTATATATGTTTTATTTTTTTCTAGTATATATTAAATAATACTTTAAAATTTTATATATTTAATATTTTTAAATGTTAAAAACATCATATATAGAAATCATATTTATTAAGATATGTGTTTTTTTAAAGATTATAAAGATTTTAAATTGTGTAATAAACTAAAAGACTTGAAAAAAGTTTTGTATAAAAGAGAATTGTGATGTAAAAATTGAAGTTTGTATATAAAGAAGAATGTAAGCAAAAAAGAACTAATTACTGCACTAGAACTACAATAGTAAATTAATTAGATTTTATAGTATAATGTAAAAAACTTAAAAAGCAATTATTGCTATAAACTATAAAGTTATTTTTTATTCAAAATTCCATTGTGAATTAAATTATATAGAACACTTCTAGAGTTCAGCAAAGTGATTAGCATGAAACTGCTGTGATTATATATAAAAATATATGAAAAGAACAGTACCAAAAGCTTTTAAATTAGTATCTTTTACTAAGATTAGATAATATGCTCAGAAGGCTTAAGATATATAAATATGTATTACAAAGCTTTAAAAAAAAACCTGTAAAATTTAATAAAAAAATATTGATCTTAGTGTCATATTCTGAATATAGTTTTAAACAAAATTAGTATAATGAATAATTAACAAGTAGACAAAAATTTTTATAATAAGTTTTGTTATATTTTATTTTTTGTCCTTTAATAAATTAAATTATTATATTTATCTTTTTTTTTAAAAAAATATTAATAGTGAGGCTATGCTTTTAACTTTTAAAAAAAAAGCTTGCTTTTAAATTACATATGAAGAATAAAGACTAAGACCTACAAGAATGGCCAAAACTCATCTAGATTTGGGTATTAGTAATAATATAAGAGAGAGGAGTATAATATTTAATCTATTGGATAGTCCAAAGGTCAATTTTAGTAATAATTTGTGGTACTAAAATAGAAGGTAAACTGGAAAAAGAACTGTAAGTTAAATTTGTAGTAAATATGTTTTAGAACTGTGCAGAATGTGAAATGCAATATGGAATCCATATTTGTTTGCATATTTGTTAGTTTAAATAGAGAAAAAGTTTAATAGAAAGAAAGATAGCTATATGGTATGAAATAGAAGTATTATGAATAATAAAAATAAGGTCAATAGGAACTAGACCAGATAAAATAGAGGTAAGAGATGGCATATATAAGAAGTTATGCAGTTTAAAGCTATTAAGTGTAAGAATTTCTTGATATAAATTAGAAACAAGGTTAGGGACATATCAAGATCAGTAGCATTTAAGATGCAATTAAAAGAGTTAATGATTAAGTAATAGATTGTTTGGATATAAGAACAAAGAGTCCAGTGTAATAAAGAACTAGTTTGGTTGCATTAGTAACAGAAAGAAGAGTAAGAGGAGTTACGTTTGTGAAGAATATAAGGAACAGATAGTTTATTCAAAAGAATTTTAATATAAAAGATTTTTAGAATAAAGAAATAAAAACTGTAGGCAAAATTAGAAACCTTTTGATTATTATTGATGTAAGCCAAGTGGCTTCCTAATTAATATTAGAAGCAATAATGGACCATTGTTGAAAATGATGTTAGAATGTCCAAAATATTATAATGTAAGCTTAACAGATAGTATAAATAGAGCATCGAATAAGAATTTCAATAGGAAATTGGTCAATAAATAAAGTATAGACAAGATTGTAGAAGTTGTTAGTTAAGAATGTTAAAAAGGGTAGTATTTGGTGGTTATGAGCAAGTTGGTTAGCAAGATTATTAAATGGATCATCTTGGTGTGCAGTAACTTTGTGAAAAGTAAGCTGAATGTTGTATGAATTAATAAAGTTGATAAAAGTTTGCCAAATAGAAAAGTATGGAGTATGAGTATGAGAAAATTTGGATGCTGATAAGCAAATATTATAGTATTTGGAAATAACAGATTGTAAGTTTGTAAAGATATAAACTGAACAGTTTCTAGGAGCAGTTATAATTGCTAAGAGAATAGCAAGGATTTTAGCTTTAAAGAAGCATGGCCAAAGTTTAACTTGTGTTTGAAATGAATGAATAGTTGCAGAATTATTGACTTGAACCCAACCTATGCCTATAGAGTATTGGAAGGTACCAAGCTTAATAATAGAACCATCAGTATAAAATGAAATAGTGGTTAGATTATAGTTGGAATTGGCAATCGATTGTAAGCTATCAATAAGTTGATTAGACTGAAAGATATAAGGTAATTATTGTGAATTGATTATTAGTGAAGGAGGTAGTAGAATATGTAAAGGATGTTGGATAGCTACAGAGTATGCAATATCAAGAAAGTTGGTATGTAAGTTAAGAGTTTTGTCAGTATTAATATGGCAGAATAGTTTTGTAGTCAGATTTATAGAAATAAAGATAGTACATTTGTTGGCAATTGTATTAGAATTAAGATGACATCCAGAGCATAATGTAGTAGTTGAGAGGGAGTATAATATAGATTTAAAAACTGAAACTAATATAAGCAGTGCCAGTGAGTAATAAGAGTAAGACCTGTAGGAGTATTATACCTTTTGGCCTTTCCAATAATTATTTGGTCATTGAGAACAGTAAGTAACCAGGGTTTAGTATTAGAGGTAAAGTAATCAGTGGTATAAGAAAAGTAGTTTGTTTGAGGTAGGTTAAAGTAATTATATAGAGTGCATTGATAAGAATGACTTGTCATAATGTCCTTAAGAATAGTGAACCATTGAGGTACAACACCTTTAAAAAGCTTGTTTAATCTAGGAGAAATATGTTTTCAGCATAATAAGCATGAATTATCATATATAGTAAGTTGGTTAAGAAAGAGTAATTTGTGATATCTAAGTTGCTTTTTGAAAATGGAATATTTGGGATGAGAGAAAAGAAGGAATTCAAGAGAGATAGCTTTATCATTTAATATAAATAGAATGTTATAAGTTGAATTAGTAGAAAATGTCCAGCCAATATATTTAATAAGCTGGATAATTTTAAAGTTTGTAGTTAGATGGTTAGGACTGTCAATAATAGGATTAGAATGTAAAAAGATATTAGTAGGGGACCAGAAGTTGTTTTGTAGCTGTTGAATTTGGATGCAGATTGATGTGCCTAATAGGTTAGGATTATTAAGTTATTTAAGAAGGTTAGAAATATGGTGTTGTAGTTGGATATCTCAGATGTGTTTGATGTTGTACATTTGAAGATATAAAAGAGTACTAGAGGGTATTGTATAACAAAGTTTAGCTTTGAGTTTAACAAGGCCAATATATTAAGTAAAGATTTTATTGCAAGTAGGCTGACTAACTACAAATGTTTTGGAGACGATATTCAAGAATAAGAATGATGACTGTATTAATAATGTAATGAGCATGTGAGTTAGTAATACATTTGGTTTTAGCAATTTGAATAAGTTGAGAGAATTTAGCAATAAGCAGATTTGTTTGTTTAGATTGCCTATTGTTTAAAGTAAACCAGCAATCTAAAAATTTAAAAGGGTTGTTTAAGAGAATATAAGGGAAGAAAATGATTATTGTAGGAGATAGGGATGTAGTGAGGTTAGTGTTGCAAACATAATTATATTAAATACAAAAATAATTTTAATTACAAAAATCCTATTATTGATACAAAAATTACAATATTTACAAAAATTACATATTTACAAAATTGCAGTAATTCAATAATAGGTTTTGCTCCATATTGATAAATTGTATGATCAATTTAAGCTATCACTATTTATGAAAAAAATTATATGACTAATTTAAGCTATTACTATTTACATACATATAATAAAAATCAAAATATTTTATTATTAAAATCTCTTCGAACTTATTTCTATTACATATTAATATAATCGACAAACTAGCTTCTACAAATTATCTTTAAAGATGTCAAACCAAAGTGATATGTATTCAGAAAAGCAAAATAAAATACTAAAATGTAAAAGTGCAGGTCACCCAAAAGAAAAAATTTGGGATTATTATATAACAAATAATGATATTGATGATCATAGTGTGACTTGCTATTGTTGTCCAAAAAATTGAAACAATAGACACCCTGCAGAAATGAAAGCACACCTTGCAAACATTTGTCCTAATGCTCCTAAAGATATGAAAGAATATTGGCAAGAGTCACTTTCAAATAAAGTTATTAGTTACAAATGAACAAAAGGTTCAAATCAAAAACATGATCTATCTCAAAATGAGCAAAATGAAATTGACAAAGCCATTTTAAGAGCTTAGGTTATGACAAATTCGTTATTTGACATTATTAGCAATCTATTTATGGTTGACTTATTCAAACATCTTAATTCAGCATATATATCACCTAGCCGTACAACACTTTCTAAAAGATTGTTGGAGCAAAAAACTGCTCAAATTAATTTAAAAATTGATGAAAAATTAGAAAAATGCAAATTTTTAACACTTGCTCCTAATGGATAGTCATCTCCAACTAGAAATTCGATTTATAATTATGTAGTTTCAACTACAGATTGACATAAATATCTTGTTGCACTTAGAGATTATTCAAGAATTTCTCAAACTGGAATATATATTGCAAGTGAAATTGAAAATATTATTAAAAAAATAGGAGTTCACAAATTTGCTGAAATTGTGATGGATGATGGTAGTAATGTTAGAGTTGCACAACAAATAATTAATAACAAATATCTATATATTTTAAATATTTGATGTGCAGCTCATTCATTAAATCTTATTGCTACAGATTTAATAAAACTTAAATTAATTAAAAATTTGGTTTCTCAAAGTAGTGAAATTATAGGATTTTTTAATAAAAATCATCATGCAAATGCTATTTTAAAAGATGGGTTAACAAACTTGCAAATTAAAGGTGGCAAATTGAAAACATATAGTAAAACATGTTGGTGTTCTCTTTGGAATACTGCTGATTCATTATTGCGTACATGTCCAATATTTGAATAGGTAATTAATTTAATTATTATATATATAATATAAATATTTAATATATTTCTATTAATATTATTATTTATATAAATTTTATAGATTAAGTGTGAACATTCTAATATTTTAACTAATAAAAAAGTATCAGATTATATTGAAAATGATAAATTATTTCAAACATGTAAAATAATTTCAGAAATTTTCAAACCGATCAAAAATGCTATTAATATTTTAGAAGCAAAAACAGCAACAATGGCTGATTGCTATATTGAATATATAAAATTAGCTAGTGCAATTAATCGAATACCTGAAAAAAATAGTTTAAAAATTGATATTATTAATATATTTAATTGCCAATATAAAGAATTTGATCATAATGCTTACTTATTTGAATATTTTTTACATCCTGGTTATCGTGGCTTGGGGTTAAAAGCAGAAACATTTAAAAAAATTTGCAAAATTGCATCTGAATATTGAAAGGCTTTAGGAAATAATAAATAAACATGTTTAAATTTATTAGCTGATCTTAGAACATATAAATGAAATAATAATCCTTTTAAAATAGAATATAAAAAAGAAAGTGAAACTGTGCTTGATTGGTGGTTTATATTTGATGATGAAGATGATGAAATACCTTTAGTGAAACTCACTATTAAATTGTTTTCAATAATGCCTTCTCAGGCAGGATGTAAAAGAAACTTTTCTATATTAGGATGGTTTTATGGAAATAACTGATATAATCTTGATGTTAATAATATTGAATCAATGGCAAAGATTTGATCTTATTATTTAACAAATATCAAAAAAGAATTAATTTATTACAGTCTGAGGATATACCAAATTTGGAATCTGAGTTCTAGATTTGAAATCCGAGTTCTAGAATGATCGTCGAAATTTGATTGGCTCTGTCACGCTTTTTTTATGCCCTCTTTCTTTTGAGGATTTCACAAAATTTTATACTATTAACCTTACTAAACGATATACGAATAGTTAGTTTAAAAGGTCTACTTTCGATCATCCCAATTAATCCCTTATTACAAGCAGATTTAAAAAAAGTAAATGAGACCTTAAGATCGTGGATTTCTTGACGTATTTGTTATAATTTGTTAACTAAACATTCTAAACAATTTTTTTGTAGTGGCACAATACAAGAAACAAAAAGCTCAAGATCGCAAATGCATTTTCGCAGATTTAGTTGAGACATATAACAAAGTTGGATTAGGCTTTTGTGAAACCGAAGATCGAAAATGGTGGAATGCAGATGGTCCGAAAGCAGCTGAGCAACTCACACTTTTTCAAACTTACTTTCCCGAACTTGCTAATTACCCTTTAGAATCCCATTCACTTTGTTAAACACATTATAATCAAATCGTCACATCTAACCATTTTTATTAACATCTTTTAGGTCTTTTTGATTCTGTTCAAGAAAGTCGACTCGACACTAATATGGATATTCAGACTACCAGTTATGCTGATCTAAGGGTTGAGCTTGACAATACTAAAAGGATTTTAGAAAGTGCTGAGCAAGAAAATACAAACCTTTGCAACAGAATTGAATGACTGTGGCAATGTTTTGAAGAACAAGAGAAAGAATTAAAAGAATTAACCGAAAAATTAAGACAGGCCAATGAAGAAGTGAATATGTTCCGAAGCTTGTATGATGACCAGTATGAAAAGAATAGAGTTCTTATTAATCAATAGGAATCAAGGTTTTCCAGTTGGAAAAAACGTATTGATGCGGTTATTGAGATAGCGAAGGCAGAATGCGAGCTATTATTTGACGATATTAGTAAATTATTACTCTGTTCTTGCATTGGATTTCTAAGATTTATAATTTTAATAACTTTTTAATTTTTTTTTTTTTATAGATTTATTAATTCGTAGTAGCAACAGGTTTTCTTTGAAAAGCCTTATGAAATATAAACTGCGTAAATGGCTCGATCGACGTAATCAAGTTGCTGTTAAATTTGTTGAAACTCTGGTTCAAAATAATCAAGTTACCGATAGCTCAAGCCAGAAAAAGCTTTTTAAAATTGTTGTTGCAATTAATTCGATATACGGTGCGAGACATGGAAAATATATGTCAAAAATCAACTCGCTGCCTCGGCTATAAAATATTCAATTGCACGATCAAAGATGGTCATTAACATCGATAGCCATATCACAAGCTCAGGAAGTTATTATAGATTCCAAAAATGGTTTGAAGAACTTTCAAAGCATGAAGAACCATTGCCCAATGGCCTTTTATTTCTCGCCTTTGATAATGAGCAAAAGGGGCAAAAAAATTATCTTGATCGGGGATTTAACACGGTTATTTACCATATCGTCACCAGTTTCATTGCTTTTAACATGGCATCACAAAACAAAATTCAACATACTAATTCACCTTGGGCATGTAATTCTCCTAGCAGGTCTCAATACGAAGAACTTTTTGACATCAGTCCCAAAATGCAAGAAGTCATCGACGAAGAATTATATTCTTATTTGGCCGAGGTTCTTATATTATTATCTGAAGAAAAGTCCTCTACTAATATCATCGATTCTTTTGCAGCATCTATATCAATTAATGTTACTAAGATGAAATTTTGTCCTAGCTGCAACCTTCAAAATATTGAGAATCGAAAAAAAAATTGTCCAAATTGCAGGACACAGATGCCAACATTGGCTGAAATTCAAAAAGAGAAGACGGATGAAATCGAAAATAATATAAATAAGCAATTAACTAATTAACTTATTTTTAAACAATATAGAATTGACGATGAGCAAGACGATACTTCCACTCTTAGAATTAGCCATACCCAACGAATTACTGATCAAGGAGTTAATGTTCCCGAAATCTATATTCCCGATCCGATTAACCTTAATCCTAATTCTATCACAAATGTTGAACAAGTTCTTTTGCATATAGAGAAAATTTCAGGTATTAAGAACGGAATTCGTAAGTGGGTGGTAGTAGTGTGTGACGGTGTTCCATACCGCTATGCTACCAAATTGAAAGAGAAATTTCCTTGGTTGGTTTTAATACCTGGGCAATTACACGAAGAGATGAATATGCTTCGTGCATATGTAGAATTAAACTGGTAACTTATTTAAAATTAGCATATTGGTTACAGTTGGAGTGTGCCATTTTATTTTATTTTTTTGGTTTATTATTATTATTATTTAATGTTATTTATTCATTTATTTTAATTAGGGAAATAGATCTAAAGCAATTCGCGAAGTGCCAAGGTTATCGAACTAAAAACCAACTCGCATATTTTAAAAAATGCTCCGATCATCATAAGTCGTGGGATTCTATTTGCGTTATATACCAGCAAGCAATGACTATGGAACTTTTGTGGCCATACGTAAAAAATCATCCAAACCCATCGGTCGAGGGATATCTTACTTGGGTTAAAGGACAGCAAGATCCGCTTTACTATATAAAATATGAGCAGGTCAATGTTAGTCATTTTATTCTTTTATGACAATTAACAGAATGATAATTTGATATTTCTTATCACAATAGACATTCGTATACCTCCAAGCAATTGTCAATTATCGAAAGGCCATAAGAATCAATAATCCGCTTTTGAATAGGGCTGCAAAAAGAGCGTTTTCTCCTATTTGGTCTGCGAGGCGCCATCCCATTTATCAACTAATAGAAGTTGCTGATGAAGTTCAATTGATGCAACTTAGTCCTGAAATATGTGAAATCGTGGAGAGAAATTGTGTCGTTTCTCGGTCTGAGATTTACGAACAGCATCAAGGATTAGATGCAATGATAGAGAAAATAAATAAAGCTTTAAAGGCTTTAATACCTCCTATTCCACAAGATCGTCATTGGAAAATTGCGGCGCGTAATTGTAAAAAATTTTTAAAGGTAAACTTGAACTTAATAATGATCTTTAATTTTCACCTATATTTCATTTAAGTCATTAAATTTCAATTGAATTCCAAATTTAAATCGATAATCCATTTTAGCTTAGGGCTAACTTATTTAATGTAATCGGGTATAATGACTGTCACTCATCAGGGCCAAGAACTCGGCCAGATTCAACCGTGGAATGTCAAAGATTTCGTGCTCTTCTGCGAGGTTTTAAATTCGTAAACCCAGAGAACACGAGAGATATTTGTCATAGTTTAGGCGAAGAATATGAATTGGATAAAAATTTGAAAAATTTTACATGTTTGGCAAAAATGGCCCGACAAGAGTTTATTATTGAAACTTTTATTAATAAAACTAATTCTTTTCAATTTAGGCCAATACCAATTACAATACAAGAAGCCGATGTTCAGAAAAATGAACAAAATATGAAGAAAGAAGATATTTTGTTAAAGATAGAAACTCTTCTTGAACAGCTTGGTGAAAGTGCCAAGAAAAAATACTCTAGAATAAAGTCGAAAAGTCGAAAAGTCGAAAAGAATTGTTAGAAATACTACAAGAAGTTAAATGCTTATTCGATGCGGATCATGAGCTTAATGATCAAGATTGTCTAGAAAATTTGGAAAGAGATCAACAGGAATTGTAATTTTATGTGGTTCTTATCTATAAATATACTCGGGTGTTCAAAAGTCATTATACGCTCCTTATTTTTAAGTGGCCCTATATATAAAGATCAAGATAATTATTCATGCAAAATTATGATAATTTTGCATAAGTAATTATCTTGATCTCTATATATAGGGCCACTTAAAAATAGGGAGTATATAGTGCTTTTGAACACTCAGTGTATATGTATTTATTTGCATTTTTATGCAATAAGAATTAAATTATTTTTATCAAAATTATATAATATAGCTAAGTATTTTATATATTTGTTTGTTTCAATTGGAGTTTATTATTACTAATAATATTTTGTTTTCATGATCTTAGTTATTTTAGGATGTGCAGGTTCCGGGTACTGTATTATGTTTAGCGTAGTTCTGACATTCATAACGAACTCTTAACAAAACCTGAAAATAGAGTATTGCTTTTAGTGTTATATGAATGTATGATTTTTACCAACAGGAGAAAACGTACCCGATCCAAAGTGAATCCCATACACGGTGTGATACAGTGTGATCAATTAAAACTAAAATTATTTATTTTAGTTTTAATTGATCACACTGTATCACACCGTGTGTGGGATTCACTTTGGATCAGGACGTTCTCTTCTGTTATTTTTACCACGAAGCAGTAATCTAATCATATGATAATTTTTGTTTTAGATTCGATTATCATTAATAGTTTTTTTTATTTATTGTTTAGCATCATTATAGTGTTGCTAAAATGTATTCATTTCTTGATTCAGTTCTTGTAGTTAGGAGTGGTAACCTATCACGTTCAAAGTGCTGTTTAGTAAGAAAGGATGCGAGGGGTTTACTGGTTCGTATGACTAAATTTTTGAAAATTCTTTCGATTTGCAATTGCCTGTTTGAGAGTTTTTTTTTTCTTTTAACTAATGGCAGGAATGGGGAGAAATCTGGGTTAACGCATCACTTTTGACTTGGAGCTTTGTTTTGAACTCGAGGACACACTTTAAAGTGGTTCTGCAATCATACTTGATCGTTACAAAATTGGCCACAAGACGTTTTCAAGTACAGAGTGTCTGGACCATTGATATTAGCAAGATTAGAAGAGTAGCGAATGGTATGTTATTATCACTGCGTTATTTTATTTATGTTCTCAAATGGTGACAGTTTTTAATTATGGTTTATTTCATAAGATGATGTGGTCGAAGTCAGAAAGGGCAAATATAAGTGTTCAAATATTATTAAAAATTTGCAGAGATGGACTATTCGAGTAGAAAATTCAGTCTTGATCGTCGCTGTAAAATGGAATTGGAATAAGTAATGCTAACGAAATAAATTATATTGGCAATTGATATTATTAAAATGTAAAAGTTAAATATTAATTATCTTATCTGTTAATCCATTTTAGAATTTGTTTAATATCTGTAATAAATGGCAGTTTTTGAAGTACAAGGCATTCATTTATTCAAAATCAGTTGAGACATACCAATGGAGCATTTAATGTTGATTATTGCTATCATAATGGAATTGGTGTTTAAAAGAATAGATATTGAGTGTTTAATTTTGTCCGGGTGTTATTCAGTTTACAAGTATGGTGGCACCCGGATAATGTGCTCATTATAATTATACAATTTTTCTTTTTTTTTTGGATGTTTTATTTATCTTTTATTCATTTTTTTATTTAATAAAAGCATCTTTAAATTGAAGTAAACTACATTAATAACGTCTTATTAAAATTTTACAATTTGCTGGTTGTAATGCTTATGATATAAGAGCTGGAGAATACAACTTGTAGGCGAATTTGCTACGTAAAGTGCCTTATACAATACTCGAGTCTGTTACATTCTGCCCGGTCTATTACACGATGAGAGGTTATGTCGAAAAAAGAAAAAATATAAAATGCATACTTTGTATTACAATAGGAAGTCTAACTATTTAAAAAAAACCGTGTTTAATAATTTTGTGGTTCACGCCCGGGTCTAATTCCTGGTGGATCTACAGGATCTTGTATACGGCACTTTACGGTAGTCAGCACTTTACTTGACAATACTTAATTAGAGGCTATTTATTAATTATTTAAAGAAAATTTTTTAAAAAAATTGTATGGTAAAAAGCTACAAAACTACTTGATAACACTGTAATTTTATTGGTCACTTAGCTAACACATGGAATAATCTAGAAAAAAATCTAGAACAACCCGACGGATGATCATTACTAGATAAGGTGTGATCTGCAATGACCAAATATGGTATATTCCTAGACTGTATTATGGAAAAGATTTAACTCAACAGGAATTAAGAGATTCAGTAAATGGTGCTATGATTACTGATATTGATGAGCTTTTATTTCCATTGGATAATCAAGAACATTTAGCATTAAATGAGCAAGAACATTTACTATCAAATGATCAAGAAACTTCTTTATTAGAAGTTGAGCAGACTGATAATATACTTTTAATTTCGGAAGTCATTGATCTTACTAATATATCATTCAACAGTGATGGTCAATTGCAAGTTAATAAATTGACAAAAAGTTCAAATTCGCCTGGAAATATGGATTATAATATAGACAATTTAATAAATAGAATGTTCAAAATAAATAGTGAATTCGATTTGTAATTATGTTATACAGTAGTTATACATAAATTCTAATACATATGTAAAGAATTTATAGCACAATAGTGATAGATTAATATTTATAATATAAATAATGTGCAGTTTATATTTAATTAATATAATGGCTTATATTGTACGTACAGAGTTTAAATAAACATTATCAGGCTTTGAAAACCATAATAATTATTAAAAATGCAAAAATATAATTAATTTTGGTATTTTTGATTTTGTAATATAAAATTAATTTAATTTTGTTTGCAACGCTAAGTAAGGTAGAGGATTATTGATAACTAGAATAGATTTTGAGGTGTTAACTTGATTGTTAGCTATAGCATAAAATAATACAGCTATGGATAGTATGTTGGAAAGCTTAGTTTGTGATAAAGCAATCCAGAGAGTATTATTCATATATGCCAAAACAGAGTATTGTTTTTGTAGAAAGTTGAGTGTTTGAAGTTTGAGATTAGTAGACCAAGAGGATTGTAAGGTATAGCCAGGTACTTGAACATGTATATATAAAATAAGTGGATTATAATATATGTGTCATAATAAAGAAGTAATAGTTTTACCTTGGTCAATGCTATTGTAAACAGGATATAAGGGAATAATGTCAAGATTAATAATAACTTGGTTATGACAATTAGTTAAAAGATCAGAAAGAAAATTTATAATAAATAAATGAAGTGTCAAACAAAAGATTGAATATTTAAAAAGAGTAAAGTTGACAGATTTATATGCTTTACTTATATCTTGTAAAAGTAGCCAAATGTCTTTGTAATTGCAAGTAGTATCTTCAATAAGATTATTGAAAATGTGAATAGAGATTGAAGTGCTATTGTTAAAAAGTGCAACATAGTTAAAAGGTGAGAGAATAAGGTTAGAAGTAAATATAGTGCTTAGTCTATTTGTTTTTTTTTTTTTTTTTTTTTTTTTTTTAAGTTAAAGTCCCTATCTTGGGAGTTGTGATGTTTTTATTCAAGTATATTAGGAC